TCAGGATGCTCTCTATGGTGCACCTGTAGAAGGTCAGGATGCTCTCTATGGTGCACCTGTAGAAGGTCAGGATGCTCTCTATGGTGCACCTGTAGAAGGTCAGGATACTCTCTATGGTGCACCTGTAGAAGGTCGGGATACTCTCTATGGTGCACCTGTAGAAGGTCAGAATGCTCTCTATGGTGCACCTGTAGAAGGTCAGGATCCTCTCTATGGTGCACCTGTAGAAGTTGCAGAGTATCCTGGAGTCCATGTTGAACCTCCTCAGCCTGCAGAGGAAGAAGAGCCGCTGTCGCTTGGTGTTGAAGGCTGAACTGTAGTCAATGAACAGCATTCTCACATATGTGGTCCTCTGGTCCAGGTGTGAGAGGGCAGTGTGGATGGTGAGGGCTATGGCATCGTCTGTGGACCTGTTTGCTCTGTAGGCAAACTGTAGGGGGTCCAGAGAGTCAGGGAGGTTTTGACTAACCGCTCAAAGCACTTCATGATGATGGAGGTGAGTGCTGCTGGGCGGTAGTCATTGAGGCTGGTGATTTTAGACTTTTTGGGGACAGGAACGATGGTGGGAGGCGTGTGGTGCAGTGGGTTGAGCGTTGGTGATCAGATCAGGGGGTTCAAACAACAGGTTCAAACCCCACTGCAGTCAGCGTGTCGTTGTGTCCCCGAAACACTTCACCCCAAATTGAGTATGTAAGCCGCTTTGGATAAAAGTGTCTAACAAGTAACATGTAATGTAATGGTGGAGTGTTTGAAACATGCGGGGACTACAGACTGCAGCAGGGACCTGTTGAAGATGTCTGTGAACATCTCTGCCAGCTGAACTGCACACCCTGAGAACACAGCCAGGGATGCCATCAGGTGTGTGTGTGTGTGTGTGTGTGTGTGTGTGTGTGTGTGTGTGTGTGTGTGTGTGTGTGTTTGAGAGAGAGAGTGAGCGAGTGTGTCTATGTAAGCAATAGAGAGTTAATGTGTGTTTGTAAGACAATCCCTCAAATCAATGGAAGTGTTTCTTCATTGCCCTTTTCTTGATAAGTTAATCAAAATCCTAACATTGCTCGCTAGCTCAACAACATCCTCAGGCTCTGTGACCGTCACTGTTCCTTGTGGTTGCTGGCTCAATTCGTCACTTTTAGCTTTTGCTATTTATTGTTGAGAAATGTTTTAATGCAGCCGCGACTCTCTCTTCCTTTTCTTTCTTTTTCTTTCTTTCCGCTGCCCCGCGGAGCATTCGGCTGCTACCGGCACCATCCAATGCCAGTGTGACATGAGTGAAGGTGGGGTTGTGATTCGGCTATAGACTGCCGCCGCGTAGTAATAAAGTTGAGCGCATACATAGTGAGACCTACAGTACAGAGACGGTTTAGAAAATATATTAATTTGACCCTATAGTAAAACCGAGTTATTTATTGCGGAGGAGAGTGAGTTTCATTTAAAACAAATTATGATGAATGAGGTTGTGCCAAAAAATATAATTCTATTTATTTGTTTTGCTCTTGTCACTGAGGGCCCTCTCTTGCTCAAGGGCCCCTGGGCATGTGCCCAGTGTGCCATTATGGTTAATCCGGTCTTGTGTATTAGAGTCAAATATTTCCCTCTAAAATGTAGCGAGGTAGAAATATAATGTAGCATAAAATGTAAATCTCGACAAAAGTGTTTAAAGTATCTAAAAAATGTAATTTCCACTACTAATTGATACTTGCACCATTTTACAAGTCTACAAACCGGCCAACTACACTTTCATGAGCAAATCATTGTTGTAATTGGGAACTTTAACTTAATGTATTTGTTTTTTATTTCCATTCAGACAAAAATTGACCTAGAGAAGCGGAAGAGGAATGACCTGATCAACGAGCACAACAGACTCAAGTTTTCAGTGAAGGAGAAAGAAGCCAGGTTGAAGACGCTGCAGAAGACCCTGCAGACAATGGATGCCCAGCCTGCAGCTTCCAACACTGAGGACGCATGTAGGCAGGTGAGTGTGTGGGGGGGCATCACAGACTCACACCCAGACACAGCTGTCGGAGAAAAAATGGTCCTTTGGTGCACCATTAATATAAAAATGTTGATTAGTGCAGCACCTTTATCTTAAATTATAGACTATAATGCACAAAACATATTGCACTGAAGAATATGTCATTAAAGGTCCCATATTATAAATAGTAATATTTTTGATGACTTTTTTATTATAAAATGGCTCTAAGTCTTATTTAAATACTGTAAATGTATTAGCCGTTCAATCCCAGTTGCATGTACTGTATGTGACATCTACTGACAGGAAGTAAAAACATGAACCCAAGCTGCTGCCTAGCAACAATTTCAGTTGAAATGTTCTATACTGAGCATTTTATATAGATGGTGAATACAGTTTATTCAAAAGGACGGTATGAGCAAAACAAATAATTTGAACAATAAAGCATGTTCTAGTGAAATCCCATAATACAAGTGTGACCCTGAAAAAGAGAAAAATAAGTGACCTTTAACACTCTGCATCTGTTCCCACATAGATCAGTCTGCTAACATTTATCACTATTCTTCAGGTTTAAGGCAAACAAGTGGTTCATTACCTGAAACATGCTTCTTTTTGTATTATGTATAGTTTTCCAGTCCTTGTTTTAAAGTGTTTCCTTGGTTTTCATTTGGGGTGTGCTTTACTATGTGTGAGTATTGCTGTGTCTGTCATAAAGTATTGTTTTCATATTCTATCCTTACACCATCTCAGGGACTGCAGTGTAAATGTGGCATAGATGGTCTCAACACAATTGGGACCAATAAAGTATAGATCTTAAAATTAAAAACCTTTTTTTTTAAATTTGTGTTAACTTTCAATTCTCAACATTGTCCATGCTTTACTGTATTTCTTCTGTTTTGCTTTTATTTTGCATTTTTTATTTTATTAAAAAAATTGGTTGATGTTAATCTATTTTAATTTCTTGTCAGCTTTACTTCAAGGGAATTTCATTAGGATCACTGTTGATGTTTTATCTTGTTCTCTATCTATCTATCTATCTATCTATAGGTTTATTAATGTGTACTGTTCCTGTAGCTCATGTCTCTGATAATATGAACACAGGTGTCAATTATTTGCACCATAGACAGGAACAGCTAATGCTGGATGAAGGTCATCATGTCTTCTTCATTCACCCTATACTTAAATGTTGTGCTTCTCTCTCTAATGTCAGCGTATACGCCAGCTTGAGAATAACCTAGACAAGATGAAGGTGAAGATCACTGAGGCTAGGGAAATCCAGACCGCGTACGGACACATTCGTGAGAACCTGCAGCAGGTGAGCACTGAACAGTGCTTTTATTACACTGTCAACCACTGTGTGAAGCTCATCAAACCTTTACTTTAGCAGATACAATAACAAAACTAAAAGGGACACAACTGATGATAACTATCAGTAGCTACCAATACACTCCATGAAAGCAGTATTTTAACAAGCAGCAAAGTAACATAGTAATCAAAAAGCAGTGACTCATTCAGCTGATGTTTGGAATGTGTTCTGAGATCAGGAGGTCCGTGATATATACGGAGTCCTGGAGCAGAAAGAGCAGGCAGTTGCTGTTGGACAGGCAAAGCTGAACAAAGCAAGCAAACAATCCCAGACAGCTGCCGCTGCTGCAGACTGCACACTGGTAAGCATCACACACACACACACACACACACACACACACACACACAACTAACTACTACGTATACACTATACTATTAACGTAACGTAAGTTANNCAAAGCTGAACAAAGCAAGCAAACAATCCCAGACAGCTGCCGCTGCTGCAGACTGCACACTGGTAAGCATCACACACACACACACACACACACACACACACACACACACACACACACACACACACACACACACACACACACACACACACACACACACACACACACACACACACACACACACACACACACACACACACACACACCATCACCAACACACACCTTAGGCCCTGTGTCCATATAGCGTATTTCTTTGTCTCAAAAACGCCTTCTTTGTACGCACTCGTCTTCTTGTCTTTGGTTGAATGTTTTTTCGTTCCCCCCCACAGGACCCCCTTCTGATAAAGGGTTTAAAATCATAAAAAGTTTAACTTTTGCATGTAAAGGATTTATGATCTCACACAGTATGGATTGAAGGGAATGTATAACCCTACTTGACTTGATGTAGCCTTGTTTAAACATAGTGGATTAACTGTAAATCAGTCAAGCAGTGTTGAATTCCAAGAGGTGCTCGGGTCTTTTAAAGATTTTCAATGTGATCTTGTTTTTGTTTTTTTTATAACCCATCAGGGCAGGGTGCTTCAGATGGAATGTGAGACAATGGGAAAGAAAAGAGAAATGGATCTTGAGCTGTGTGAACTGAGTGCAGAAGAGAAGGAGCTGAAAAGGCAAATGGAAACTCTGGGACAACTCAGCACCCAGAGGCTCCGAGAGCAGGTCAGAAAGAGAGGGGACTCATCTGAGAGGTAGAACAAGTTGGTTTTGGTTTATTAGTTCTTGTCATATTTCATTTTCACATGTAGGACATTCAAGAAGAAGAAGAAGAAGAAGAAGATGAAGAAGAAGAAGAAAAAGAAGTAGAGGAAGAAGAAGAAGAAGCAGCACTTCCTGCTGCAGGTAATGTAACAAAGACCTGCCGCAGCATCGATGCTATAACATGCAGAAGATGATCTTATTACTATCAACCAAATGTCTGCTGCAGTCGTTACATACATTTGAACGATTTTGGAAGTGAAAAACTGAATTTGGTCACTGCACGCGTATAAAGTATAGAACATGACATATTAATAGTGGCAAGTAGGTGAGATTGACCAACAGCCTTTTCCACTGTCAGCAATCTGGTCTGAAACTGAAGCTACGATCTACAACTAGATACAAACTATACCTAAATCTAGATGTAAAAACTATACTACAACTGCTGAACCTCCCTTTTCCTCATTAGTATTATGGTCTTCCCATTTCTCCATCATGTTGTTCATTTTATTTATTATTTAAATGGCACCAGTAACTCTGGGCTCATGCTTTTTTAAAAGCTAAAAGTGAAACATGTGGATTCTCCTAGTACATCAATCTTTTGCAGCATTTTTAAGTGTTATTTAACACGCAAATATTTTATAGTGTTGAATAGTTCATTAGAAATTATTTACTTGTTTTACTTTGCAATCATTAATCGTTTTCACAATCTATTGCAAAACAACTCAAAGATGTGTCACAAATCTACTGTATATTCAAATGATGTTCTGCTATGCTGAACATATTCATATCTTACACATTGAACATGACTCAATTTGCTATGGTTACTTGTGGGAGGGGGTTTTGTCTAATAATAATAATAATAATAGATTTAATTTGTTAGCGCTTTTACAGGTGCTCAAAGACGCTTTACAGATATAGTGAAGAGAAAAGAAAAGAAAAGAAAGGAACAACAAATACATATATATAGTTAAAGTTAAAGTCAAATAATACAAAAACAATCACACATTAAAAGCCAGATTGAAGAGGTGAGTTTTTGTGAGTTTTTTTAAGGTGGAGAAGTCAGTGCAGTCTCTGATGGGTTGGGGGAGTGAGTTCCAGAGGGAGGGGGAAACAACGGAGAAGGCTCTGTCCCCCCAGGTCCGGTGATTGGTGCGGGTGGGGATGGATAGGAGGTTGGCTTCTGATGAGTGGAGGCAGCGGGAAGGGGTGTGGTGGTCTGTGAGGTAGGGGGGGGGCCTGATTGTTGAGGGCTTTGTGAGTAATGAGGAGGAATTTGAAGTTGATTCTTTGACGGACCCAGTGGAGGTTCTGGAGGACGGGAGTGATGTGGTCTCGGGAGCGGGTGTGGGTGAGGAGGCGGGCAGCAGAGTTCTGGATATGTTGGAGTTTATTGAGAAGGTTGGATGGTATGCCGTAGAGCAGGGGTGGCCAACTCTCGGCTCTCGAGCCGCATGCGGCTCTTTGCCTAGTTTCATGCGGCTCTTCAGTTCATATCGAATTTTATATGTGTGAGTTTGGGGGAGAGACACTGACTCCTGACTAGTGTTGCACGGTGTACCTGATATAAATAATATATATATTTTTTATTTTTTTTAAGTATATATATAGCACCAAATTGCAAATAATCTATAATTACTGTCACTTTTCACATTGAACATGTGCTCTTTTATTAAATAAACTAAACGCTTTCATTTTAAGTTGTGAGTTTAGTGTTTTTGACCTTAATGCTACGTTCACACCGGACGCGATGCGACGTTTGGGGGCGGCGCGATTACATGTAAAGTCAATGCAGAGACACGATCAGACGCAAGTTCGCTCCGACAGCGCGCATGAAGCGGTGGACACGGCGCGAATCAGGCGATTGAGGCGATTGAAGGGGGCCGCGTCAATTTTTTCAACTCGAGCGTCAAATTCACGGGACACGTTCTCGCGGTAGCCAATCAGCGGTGAGGATCTCAGCCTGCCGTCACTGACGTTCAACCAGAAAACATCAGCCATTAGCTGTTAGCACACAGAGATCACAGCTCCTCATATCTGTTCAGAAACTGTACAGAAGTTAAACAACCACAGACTGTCTGTGTCATGGCGAATACAGTCGCTGGTTTATTTATGCCTGTAGGCCGTTGTTATGAGTGTGGAGTGAGCATATAAAACGTTAGCTTAGCCTGGTCGACCCAATCTCCATTCAGAAAACAAGAATTTTAAAAGGTTTTTCGCCTGCCGTCTTGTCTGCAGACTTGTCAAGCATTAATTCATGGTTTTTACTGACCGGTATCAGTATGATGTTACGTCAGCATCATTTAAAAACGTGTATTACAATTTAATCACGGTAAAATATGTTCATTTTGTTGTAGTTGTAGCTCCCGAGCCAGCGCATCTTGTTTGAATGATGCGAGTAAACGTAGCTGGCAGCCGCGGTGAAACTCGAGCGATTAGAGCAATGCGATAAGAGCGATTAGAGCGAAGCGAATATTCGCATCGCGTCCGGTGTGAACCAGGGTGGGAATTTCACGACGGCCATGGCAATCGTCGTGGCCCCGCACTTTGGCCGTGATGCCCTGTTAAAAAAAAATGCAATTCACAGCCAAAGTGGCCTTTGTGCCCCTGTCAAAAGTTCCAGTGTAAACAACGCTAGTGAAGTCATACTAGTGCGCGCAGTAGGATAGTCCCGTGCCTGTGGATCAGAGCGATTGCTCTGCTATGATTGTTCCGTCAGACATGCATGTAGGGGCCCGACAGCCTCCTCCTCAGCCGCGGGAACAAATCTCGAAGTTGCTTTAAAAGCGTCAGAACAGTGTTTTCATAACTGCATTATGCTTCGTTCACAACGGACGCGATGCGAATATTCTCATCGCTCTAACCGCTGGAGTTTCACCGCGGCTGTCAGCTGTGTTTACTCCTGTCAATCAAACAGGACGCGCTGGAGAGGGGGCGGGGCTTATTTCAATCTAAATACTGTGGAGGAAACCAACTACGACAAAATTAACCTATTTTACCGTGATTTAATTGTAATACACGTTTCAAAAATGATGCTGAAGTAACTACATACTGATACCGGTTAGTAAAAAACATGAATTAATGCTTTGCCAAGTCTGCAGACAAGACGGCAAGCGAAAAACCTTTTAAAATGCGTGTTTTCTGAATGGATCAATCAGGCTAAACTAATCTGTAGCTGCTCCGTCCACACTCACAACAACGTCCTAAAGACAGAATAAAAGCAGCGATTGTATTCGCCATGACAGTCTGTGGTTTGTACATGTTTAACTTTTGTCCAGAGCTGTGAGCGCACACACACACGCACACACACACACACACGCACGCACACACACACACACGCACGCACACACACACACACACACACACACACACAAACACACACACACACAATGTATGTGCAGAGTTTGACCCTTGAAGGCTGTTTCTTCTGCTCTGAAATTGAATATATTTGTTACATATTAATATAATTTTAGATGTTTTGATTTGATTTTGTGAATGGGAGAAGTAGATGGAAAACATACCAAACACTAATTATTCAAAGTAAAGTATTTTATTTTATATACGGTAATACTAAGGAGGCATAGGCCTATATGATGATATAATGTCTGACATTATTGATATTAAAACAGTGATTTGTTTTTCTTATCAGAAAGTGAAGTTATTTATTTGTCAGCTCCAAATCCAAATGTTTCCCTCAATGGCCTTTGTGC